CTGTTCACTCCTACCTGGGTTATCAGGTTATCTGGTTAAAAATAATTTTTCTGTAGTGCATTGTTGTTGCAATCAATTTTTGACCTACTTCACAGTTGGCTCAGAACCCGACGACAATGCAATACGAAATAGGAGTTAATTCGATAGGCGGCGCAGGAGTCGAGATATTTGAAAACCCCGTATTTATAGTCCGATTTGGTTCATACTTAGAAAGCTTGCTTTGCTTTATAAATATTTGATTTTACAATTAACTTATTTAATTATTCTGTGAACAAACAAAATAATGTTAGATGTACATAGAGAGCGAGAGCGATATCACAAGATGTTATGCAGGGAGCTAGACTTCCCTGAAAAGGTAATAAAAATTAAAAAGACAAAAGTAACCAAACCTATTAATTTTTCCGCTACTGTACGCATAGAATGCTTCACAGTCTGCCAAACCAGTCAGCAAAAATACCAGTTCATTAACTAGCATGTTACTAGTACGCTAACATTGAAAAAGGATTGAAGGTGAACTAGTTGGGCTGCAAAGCAAACTGGTAGTATTTTGCTTTACAACTAGTTGCTTTCCCTGCAGGGAGCCCATTGATGCTGCGTAATATGTACATACATATTGACATACCTTCATATGTATGTATGTACCTACATATGTGTATGTGATCTTAAATTACATCCATTTTCTATTCTCACTAAGCTGTTTATAAGGCGTCTTCAAGGTTCTATTAGGGCCGAAGGTTTTGCAGGATTTACAGGAACAGCTGTTTTCGTCCTTAATAAACCTTATACCTAAGGTGTCGTGCGGGAACAGCTTCCTGTAAAATCCTGTAAATTCTTGCTATTCGTACTGCTGCAGGAACACAACTAAAATAAATAAATCTGTGTTCGTATGGAAAAGTAGCTTATGTCGAAAGGTTGGCTTTAGTATAATGCGGCATTCCTTTATTCTTTGAACGACAAGAAATTTTTTGATGAGACTTAATAAGAATATTGACTTGCTAGTATCGGAACTATTTCTTGCACGTTTATTTGCTAAAAGTTGTTCAACGGCTCAGCGCCAGCGAGTCATTCGCAATCGTATACTGCAAATGCCGATTTATATTAAAGTCAGCCTTTCGACATAAGCTACTTTTCCATACGAACACAGAAATATATGCCCGTTCCATTAATTGTTGAGGAAAGAGTGAGGCAACAGGCTGTGAAGTATCAGAAAGGTCAAAATAATGGCAATTTTTTCTTGACCGTTTTCTTGAGAGCTGCATACAGGCCATAAGTAGTCCTTAGACGTAGCAAGTGCAAGTCCTTTTGAGAAGTCTTTCAACCACTAGCATTTCCTAAAGCATGTAAGGTGATTTTCGAGAGCAGTTTTATATCCGAACATTGAAATAACCGACCCTACTTTTTGTCTGTTTACACGGTGAATGTTAACAGATAAGTACAAAACAGCCACAAAGTATTTAATGCTTTATTTAAATAGTTCATATAACGAGAATAAATTAATTATAAGTACTTTTTTATATATCGAGCCCTAACCGCCAAAATAACGTAAGCGACATTATTGCATCTAGATGCTCTAGGAACATTTCTGCATCAAAAAGAAAATTCACACGGCAAACCTCGCTTGGTTTGACAGCACTTGCAGCAAAAATTAAAATTGATAGTGCAGCACAAGTTTAAATAATTTCTCGAAAGCGATTTGCGTAATTTCTTGTGCATTTACCATTGCAATTTTTATTTTCAAAAGTGATTTATGCAAATTGGCAAAAAGTGCTTACATTGCCACGTTTAACTTCACTTTAACGTGTGGGTGTGGAGTTCTTACCATACAACCCTGCGTGTTATGTGCACATGTTTTTCAAAAGCCTGCATTGGCAATACTAATTCGTTTCATTTTCAATGTATTTCAAAATTTGCAAATCTGCCTTTTGTTCGCTGTTTGGCCGTTCCGTACTTGTGGGAATATGTGTGTATTGAAACGGGGCGAAAGTTAAACGGCGACTGACTTATTTAATGATATGTCAAAAAATTTTATTCACTAATTTGTGGCAGAAATAAATAAAATATTTCACTTGAAAATCGCGTGGAATTGTTGTCGAAGTGAACAGAAATAAAAATATAATAAAACGATAGATATTTGGTGTTGTAAATCTATGCGAAAAAAACGTATGGGCAAATTGATTGAAATCTGAATTGGTGAAGTGAAAAAAATTGGTAGCCAGCTACATCACAGCAAGGCTATGTAGAGAAGAAAAAAGAAATTTTGCAAGAAAGAAAAATGAAAATACTTATAGGGTTACTGCTCAATATTTGATCGCATTCGACTTTTTGCATTGCGTGCTTTTGGCTAAAGTGCATTTTGTGGAAAAATGAACAAAAATAAAAATAATAATTAGTTAAAGTAACATGAATAGAAGAAAAATTGGAAGCAACGCACTACGTCGAAAATCTGCAATACGTTGACGAGAAAAAGGAACACGACGAAAGAGACTACGTAGGGAAAATACGATAAAAGTAGGAAAAAGCGATAAATTGAAAGGAAAGGCCGAAAGAAGAGAAAAGGCGATTGAATAAAAGAGAAGTAGAATTAAGTCACTCAGTCGACGCAGTAAAAACGCTTGCGTTTGCGCTGGCAGCGTTTTGACTGCTATAGCACCGGCAGAGGCGTTGTACGGCGACGTCTACAATAAATTTCAATAGATCAAGCGGAAAAGGTTAAAGTAAGAAATAAGAGGAAACGGAAGACGGAAAACTTGGACACCGATAGCACGACGAAGGCGGTGGCTGTCAATTGTCAAACTCGGCGATGAATTGTGAAGCCGAGTTTCAAAAGCGGCAATTATAATTAATTAAAATAAAAAATACAACGAGTTGTTTTGAATGGGAATATAAACAATATAGTGAATATATCTAAATTTTTAAATAAAAAGCGCGCACTTATACGTACGTTTAGTGCGTAAGTGCGTGCGTATATAAGGTCAACAGGCAGCAACGGTAAAGCCAATACGAAAAAGTGTTTGCCGATCTGAAGTTTGCAAGTATCGCACAAAATGGAATACCTATGGGGTTTGTATTGCCTGCCAACATTTCACGAATCTAAAGTTCACTATCTTAGTCGTTGAGGCATTAATGATTTTTTGCAAAGACAAAGAAGTTTTCTATTTTATATTCACTTCATCATCTAGCTGCATTCATATGTTTTATGTATAGTGTCTGACAACAATAAAACATCAGATTTGCCATTTCGTCCGATACAATTTGTAAACCGTTATGAAATTAATATTTTCCATATTATTTTGCAATAAATTTATTTACATCTTTCCTTTTTTGGTTAAAAAAAAAAAAAAAAAAACATATCTACATCATTTTACTACCCAAATACTAACCGGCCGACTTTTGAGTATATGTCCAGAGGACATACAACTTTGTGAATAACATCTTAGTAGGTACGTAGGTAGATATCGATTTTCTTCAAATTGCTACTTTTTCTGCTCTTCTCACTAAAAATTTAATATAACAAAAAAAAATTCAAAAATTGGGCTCAACTAGTCCCTTGCAAATTTTATGGGCTCCAGCGTATTATGAACAGTAAATTCCAGTTTTGAAGCAATGTGCGATGGACGTCCGACTCGGAACATTGAACTGCAGCCTCTCAAGCAGAGACGGGCAGGTATTGTTACTGTAACAGCATACAATTTGCCCAAACACCCTAATATTGCTGGAGTTACAGTCCTTGGCCAGATACAAATCTGGGTCGTTCCGTCTACTATCAAACAACAAAAATTTGCCTTACTGCCGAAGTATTAATTCTTAAACAAAAGCAGCAACGCTACGTCAACGCAGAAATAACACCAACAATTACCATAGCTCTATTTATGTGAAATACAAAAATGACAGTTTCGCCATTTTCTGCAGCCAAATTCACTTTTTAAACCCTTTCAAAATCGGATTTTCCAACTGCTCAGCGTCGATACCGCGTTATTTCGGTATGCTTCATACATCTTGCATGGGTATAAGCATTTTTTGACAACAAGCAAAGCTGACGATTTTGTTGAGGTGTGGCAGTTAATGAACGCTAAGTCGGTTCGGATTTTTTAAAGTTCGAGGAGTTTTTAATTTGGCGTATACATAGCTTCTGCAGCTCCATCATCCGGCCGCTGTTTACGATTAAAAAGTTTTAGGTCTCATTCACACGTCTTCATGGTTTTTCCATTCCACATTCCATAGCACAACTTAAGTCGCGATATCTTACTCTTGTGCGCACTGCTTCCCTTGTACGCCTATTGGGTGTATTCTTCTAAACTAATTTTGTATTCTTTTTCGTTTTGTTGCCATTGCTCCTTCTTTAAGTGTGCGCATTTGTATATGATTTAGCGTGTTATTTTTGCATGACATCTTGCTGCATTGAATATTAGCACTTTTATTTTCCTTCATATGACTACAATCATTTGTATTTGTACATATACCATTGCCATAGATATGACTATGTGGCCAGACACTTTCGCAAAAAATTGCGCACACTAAATATGCGCACTGCATTTTTTTCATGAAGTCGTTTGTGGACCATTCACCTTCCATATAAATAAACGCCAAATCCGTGATTTGTAACCAGAGATATATCGTTAAAATTCTACAGTTATAATGTTATCTAAAAATAGTGTGCAACAAAAGGCTTAGTTATAATTTTGAATAGTACCTTTTATTTTAAAAGTTTCTACCTACCACAATAACAAAATAAATTGCAATTGCATTACATTTCCAAAAATAAACATAAAAACTGATATTAATTTATTTCAATTTTTGTCGATACTAAAATATTGAAAACTATTAATACAAACAATATTATGTCAAATTATGTACTATTTAACTCCAAAGTCACGTAACCCAAAACGATCCTTCGCTCATTTATGTACTAAAATGCATAAAAGCTATAAAAACACAAAACCCTCCATATCTTCATTCCATTTATATGAATTTGTTGTTTTATTTTTTTTGTAACTTTTTAGCAGGCGGTTATGTCTATATGAATGGAGATGCAGTGAAGTTACAACCACCTGTTGCAAACGCACTATACGCTCACGTACCCGTTGAAACGGCAATGCTAGCCACAACAAATCTGTACGGACCGACAACACAATTGGCAGCTCCAGCAGCAACACACATCCCATTGATAGCGACCACAGCTCAACAACCGCCGCATCCGCAAGCGTTGCAAGTGGCCGCCCCACCACCACCTTCACAACATCAACATCAACACCAGCACCAACAGTTGATACCACATAGTCATCCACACGCGCATACACATACACATAGTGCAGCTGTCGCCGCTGCTGCAGCCGCTGCCGCAGTAGCTCCACATACACAGCAAACACCCACTGCTGCTGCCACATTACAAACGGTGCCAACTGCCGCGCATCAAACCGCACACTTACAATACGCTCATCAGCCACAAGCGGTGGCTCAAGTTGCTACTGGGGGCACCACGGTCACAACGATTGATAGCGCCGAGTACGCAGCCGCCGTAATGAATGGCACAATTGCACAGGACGGCAGTGCCGTCTGCTATGGCCAGCAGGATGAATTGTCTGCTGGTATGACGACAGGAACGAATTTAATAGCTGTTGATGCATCAATGACGGGAACGCCCACATCAGTGGGAGCTCATCAATCGCACACGCAACATCATGTGGTTGTAGGTAATGGCCCACATCAGCACCAACAGGTGGTAGCACAACAGCATCATCAAACACATTCACAACATCAACAACAACAACAACAAACGATTATAACCGGTAGCAATTCGGCAAATACAGTTGACAGTTCTGGCATACCGCTGGAACAGCTTAAACAGATGCTCTCAACCCAATTGGAATACTATTTTTCTAGGTAAATATTTCATATTGAAAAACCATACTTTGTTCATAATGTCCATATATACATGTGTACATATATTAAAGATGACCTCAAATAGATGCGATACCACCGGTGCGATACGAAAATTTACGATATGCGATCACTACGAATCATTATGGTATATGGAAGGGCTCGAAACAGACGTGGTATACCGGTGCGATACGATGCGTTTAAAAACTCTATCAGCAGCCACAATTCATCGCAAGATATGAATGGCTTTTCCATTGTAGAATTGCATCTGGCTAGCATTTTTTTTCTAAAATTTTTCAACTTTTTAATATATGTATATGTATGTACGAAGTATGTATGTATGTACGTAACTGCCCCATTTTTTCATTAAGTGCAGATGCCTAAATCAGTTCGTCCTCAGAGCGTTTATATGCAATATACATATCTATAACAGTTTTTATATGTTTTGTATCGACTAACTTAGCCTCTGCGACACAACGAGAGATATGTAACAATCTCATTTTGTCACCCCGCATCGTGATTAGGTCGTACCACTGTGTATCGTATCGTAACAGTTTGATAGCCTTTGCTTTTTAGCGTTATCGCAGCAAATACAATATCGTATCGCATCAAATACGATAGCGTATAGCATCGGTTTGAGATCACATTAAAATATAAACTTCTTAAATGAAATGTCGAAACACATTTTTCTTTTTACTACAGAGAAAATTTAGCAAACGACACATACCTTTTGACACAAATGGACGCCGACCAATATGTTCCCATAATCACTGTGGCCAATTTCAATCTTGTCAAGAAGCTCACAAAGGATATTAAACTGATTACTGAAGTGCTAAGAGAATCGCCAAATGTGCAAGTAGATGAGGAAGGATTACGTGTTCGCCCAAATCACAAACGTTGCGTAATTATATTGAGAGAAATATCCGATAAAACTCCAGTGGAGGAAGTTAAGGTAAACACACACGAAATATATCCTATAAGTACATACAGTGCCAGACACCGAATTTTTCGCAATGTATGCAAAGTTTTTTATCCTCATTTCTTTTCGCAATTTTTTTATGAGACTATAGTTCTTATTATACAAAAAAAACATAAAAATAAAAGATCTAAACTTTCTGCAAAACTTTGGAAAATTGCTGGCGGTGTTAAGGCAGTGTCACACAATTGGGCTTTTGCCCAAGATTTGGTGCAAATCGTATCCCAATCGTGTGAATGCACAAATCATTTGCTTTGTCCCAATCACGAACAACAAAATGCTAAAATTTATCAATAGAAGTTGTATTGTACCAACCGTGTGACTACAAAAAAAAAAAAAAAATTGTCCTAATTTTTTTATATTGTAGCCCATATAAAAAATGAACAAATCTGTACCAATGTACCAATCGTGTGACACTGCCTTTATTATTTTCTTCCATACAAAAATCAACGCAATTTTTACCAGCTTTTGACGCGTGTAGATACATGTACACTCATGGTAAAAAGTATTGGCACCGAAAATATATCACAATGCAACAAATTCGCGTTTTTTCTATATCTATTTTCGAAAATTTTTTGTATGGAAAAAAATACATGAAAAAATGTCCAAAATCAACGGTAAGTCCTACCTATTTTTATTATAATAAAATTTGATGGGCTATAAAACTGCGTACTTAAAAAAGAATAAAAAAGAAAATAATCAGATTAAAAATTTTCATGAATATTTATATTATATTGTAAGAATTGTACATGTATTAATCATTGAGCTGTATATGGATAAATGATTTTGAAAACTATAAAAAAGTCGTAATGGTAACCAATGAGTATATTTTCCCTAAATAAAAAAAAGTTGATAAACACTATTGCATTTTGTTTCAGAATATTTTTAATAATGAAAATTGTCCACGCGTAATATCATGCGAATTTGCGGGCAATAATTCATGGTACATTACGTTTGAGTCTGATGAAGATGCCCAAAAGGCTTTCAAGTACTTGAGGGAAGACGTTAAAGAGTTCCAGGTAAGCGAAAACAGCAAATACATGCATTTTATAACTGTGAATTATACAAATTACTCCTACAGGGTTCATACCTAGCAACTATTTAAGAATTAATGTTTTTTTTTTTGTAGGGTAAGCCCATTATGGCTAGAATGAAGGCGAAACCTTTCATTAACCGGCTGCCAATTGCACCGGTGCCAGCCTTAAAGAATGGCTTCCGTCTGACCTCTCCCCCAGCTGCGGTGTATGATCCGAACGCTGCAGCAACTGCAGTTGCATACAGCGCAGCACCACAACGATTTGTATACGCAGCTAATGGAGCAGCAATGACGCAGGCGTCTGTACCTTATAATACGCCAGTACATCTTTTTGTAAGTGCTTTGCTTTATTTAGTATCTTGAGTACCAATTTTACTATGTGTATCCTCACATTTTTAACGTCATTCCTTTAGCCATTCCAGCAGCAGCAGTTTTACCCAAGTCTTGTCGCCACTACACCATGGCCACCGGCGGCTGCTGCCGCTGTAGCAGCAGCCGCTACCACAGCACACGGTCAAAATTTTTATGAGATAGGAAATGTGTTCGCCGCTAATGGCTTAGCACCGCAAGCGACTGTGCCAGCCGCTTATGCGACATCTGCGCCCCCGCAAACCGCTGCTCCATTGACAACCACTTCAAAGGGACAAAGCGGTGGTGGACGCTACAATAGCCATCGTAGTAACACTAACAGCGCTGGTGGTGGTGGACGCAGCAAGTTGCGTAGTAACAATACGCAACAACAAATGCAACAACAACAAAGTCAGCAATTGCCTGGTATGATTGCAACGCTGGGCAATGTCGTTGGCAGTTTAGTAAGCGTTGTACCAACCATAATTGATCCACATCAACAACAGCAGCAGCAGCAACCGCAGCAGCCACTGACACAGCAACCTCAGCTTCAAATGCAACAGCAGCAAGCGACTTCAAGTCAAGCGCAGCAACAGCAGCAACAACAGCCACAACAATCACAGCAGCAGCCTCAAAACACTAGTTCCACAAGACATTACAACAGTATGAAAAGTAGTGCAGGTAAGTTCTCTTAATGCTCCCGAAATCTATTGGACTTTAAAACATTTCTTACGCTCTATCAACTTTTCAGGTGGTATATCAAAATCGTCAATGGATAAGTCTTACGGTGGCGGTAGTATGTCCTCGCACATACACTACAGCACACAAACACAAACAGGCACTGCGTCGTCTCATCATCATACGTCGTCAATACAGCTGCAGTCCCAACAACAGCAACAAGCGAATGCTGTTGCTGGTGGCACACATTTACAACAAACTCACTACCAAATGCCTTCCTCAACAGCAGCGGTAGGGGCCGCTGCAACGGGAACAATACAACATTCTTCCTATTCACATGGTACACCGACAGTGTCGGTGCAACAGCAACATCATCACCAAACACACCATCAACAGCACCAGCAGCAGCAACAACAGCAAGTGCAGCAGCATTTGCATGGCCAGCATGTTGCCGAGCTGCAAGATGATGGTGGTGTATTAGTTATCGGTGCTGGCGGTGATATGTTGCAGCATTCGCAACAATCTGCACATCCCCATCAACAACAGCAACAGCACAATAGAAGTAACTTGTCTAGTTCAACGTCGTCGCTGGCGACGTCGTCCTCTGTTGGAGTTGGTGTGGTGGGGAAGGAGCCGCCCATGCATTGGACGCAGCCGCGACATCGACGTCGGAGACGTGACGACGACGGTAGCGTTATGACTTACTCGCCAAACACTAGACTTGGTGGCGGCGGTGGCGGCGGAGTAAGCGGTGGGGTCAGTATAACGACATTTTATACGCCTTATAGCACTTTCGTGCACAATGTTGTTGGGGTGGGTGGTGGAGTTGGAGTTGGTGGAAGTGACATGGGTGTAGAATTCGATGTAGGCAATGGTGGCAACATTGGATGCGTAGATAATGCGAGCGGGAATGAAACTTCAGGAGGAGGAGGAGGAGGAGGAGCAGCAGGAGGAGTTGGCGGTGGCGAAGGCGGAGGGCAGCATGGCGGCGGCTTGCAGTCATTTACTAGCAACCCCACCATCACCACCACCACCACCACCACTGTCATCACTGCCATCGATAGCTACAGCACGGCGAATTCAAGCCATACTATGAACTTAAATTTAAATGTAATTGCAAATCTCAATCAGAATCTGAGCACAAATTCGAATCAGAGTCCGAATCCAAGTCCAAACCGCAATTCGTATGCGAAAAATGAACTGAATCAAAGTCATAGCCAAAACCAACATAAGCATTATGGCCAAAACCAGCACCAAAGTCAGCAGCATAGCCAATCAAATCAAGCCCAAATAATGTCTAATAGCTTCCACAACAGCTTCCACCACAACCAATATAATAATAATAAATTTAGCAATAACAATTCTGCCTCTTCTACTACCACCACCAATACTACTACTAATACTACCACTAAAACTTCTACTTCTACTAATGCTAATGCTACTAACAATAATCATAATAATAATTTTGGTACAACAACAACATCATCAATAATAACAAGCACAACAAACAATGTGAATACGCAAAAAGCAAAAATATTCATTCAATCCTCTACTTCGCAGCAGCAATCGTACATTGGTGGTAGCTCATCGTCACATCATCAATCACAGCAACAACAACAGCAACAACAACAATCGTCCAACTCAGCCACATCGCTTTCGTTATCAAATAATAATACCAATATACTTTCAACACAGACGAGTGGCGGCGGTGGTGCCGGTGGACACCATAGTCAACGCGGTGAGAGTGGTCATCATGGTGGCGGCACTGGTGGCTATAATACGCATCGTGAAGAACATCGAGGTGGCTACAAAGGCAACAATTACAATCCGCACTACAATAGTGGTGGTGGCATGGGTCACCACTCGCAGCATTCGGGCGCATCACATCATCACCATCATAGTGGCGGCGGTACAACACAACCACATCATCACCATCATTCGGCTTCGCACCACACAGGCTCAACGCATCATTACCACCATCATCGCCACGAAGTGGGAGGTGGTGGTGGTAGTGGTGGAGGTGGGTTAAGTGGTGGTGGATCAAGTGGTGGACATGGCATAAGCGACCGCAGCAATGATCGCAGTGGAGGCCACGGACATCACGGTCAGCAACAGCAACAGCAGCATGCGCCGCCGCCACAACCACCACAATTCGATCTAGAAGCGGCTGCATTTCCACCACTGCCAGGTTTGTTATTTTCCTGCACCTTTGCTGGAATATTAAGCAGAAAATGATTGTCATTCGACTCTTTTTTTTTTTGTTTGAACCGAAATTTCTTTGGAGATGGTAGTGAATTAAAAAATCGTGTCGAAAAAAGTGAAACTTGGGATGCAATCGAAGTGCATCCATTTCTTGCTTCTTCTCTATTAAAAAAAAAATTATCGACAGGTGCTACGAGCTCTTTAGAGTTAAGATTAAAATTAAGTTTGCTATTGAGACTGAGATTAGGATTATGATTAAGACAATATCGAGATCAGTCCCATATGGTATTTCCAATGAGTATAGCTATTAAATCGGAACGTAATACACAAATTTGGCGGGCGAACTTTCACTTCCTTAGTGTGCGCCAGACTTCGACCAGGCAAAGCGAAGATTTTCGGAAGATGCCTTGAGATTAAATCAATCGACAATAATAAAAAAAAGGAATATAAGACATCAAATTGTTTAATTTACCGTCAGCATAGGCTCAAAAAAACATTAAAAGATTACAATAATAGGCCAAGAAGCAAACCAAACCATATTTGCTTGAAAAGTAAAACGTTTTTGTTTTTGTCTCTTTGTACGTTTCAAATACAAACAGCAACCTCATCGTCCACAGCATCTTCTTCGTTAGCGTCCTCTGGTGCGATTCCGACAAACAATAGTGGCAATAATAGCAACAGCGCTTCGTCTTCTGGCAACAAGCAAACTGCCAATTTGACACCACACCACCAACAGTCGCAGCAGCAGCAGTCTTTTAGTAGCAGCGGCAGCGGCGGCGGCGGCGGCGGCGGCAATGATGGTAGTGTAAGTGGAAATAATGATGTGCAGCTGCAAAAGACAAGCTCCGGCTATTTGCAGCAGCAGCAACAACTACAACAACCTAATCAGTGCTCAAGCCATTCTAATGCCTTACAGCAATCTAATAGTTCCTCGACGACGGTAACTGGCGTAACAGCAAATGCCGGTGGTGGCGGCGGCGGCGGCGGCGGCAGCAGCAGCAGTGGCAGTAACCACCACAGCACCAGCATTAGCGCCAGCGCTGGCTGGACCAATGAAAATCGTTTGGCAGATGTGGTGCGCTCTGGTGGTGGCGGTGCTAGTGTCACTGGTGGCAATAATAAGAGCAAATCCCGCAAAGATTCCGCCCATAATAATAAACAGCAACTAAATTTTCAGCCGCGTAATGTAGGTATTAATGTGGCCGGTATTGCTGGTTCAAGTCCCACCTCAACAGCGTCCATAAACAATATGAATAACACCACTACTACCACAGAAGGTGCTTACGCTGTAGATGAACAAAATACTGCAGCCGCAATGAAGTCGAACAACAATAAGTCTGCGACGATGAATAAGCAAAATTCGAATTCGAATAACAACTACACCACCTCTGCCTCCTCATCCAACAACACTGTGATAAAGTGTCCAACACAACCCAATAACAACAAAAACAACAACGCCTATAGTCTGATTGGCAGTAACGCGTCATACGACAGTAATACTGGTGAGATATACATACTAACGATGATAACATTCACGAAGAAAACGACTTTCACAACTAGAATATTCCGCTTGCAACTAAAATTTTTCTCTTAACTAATAGATAGCTTCGCTCTATGTAAGCCAGATTTCGGGATTTGAATACTTTTTGTATTTTTATTTAAAAAAAAAAACTTTTACTGGGACATGCTGCATGGCGTTGATCAACGCTGCCGCAGAAAATGAGCTTTTGAAATGTAGAGTCTTTTCCATCATCTTAGAACCCAGCGGCCGAGAATGCTATAGCATTCATTCACAGTTTTTTTTTTCGTCTAGCTTTAGTATAATGCGGCATTCCCTTTATTCTTTAAACGACAAGGAATTTTTTGATGAGACTTAATAAGAATATTGACTTGCTAGTAACGGAACTATTTCTTGCACGTTTATTTGCCAAAAGTTCTTCAACGGCTCGGCGCCAGTGAGTCATTCGTAATCGTATGATGCGAATGCCGCATTATACCAAAACCAGCCTTTCGACATAAGCTACTATTTCATGCGAATACAAATTTGTAGTTGAATACCACGGACGTATTGACAGTGAATGTATATCTTTTTATATAATTAATCTTTAAATTCTACTAACATAAAGTAAATTTTCAGTCTCTGGTGAGAAACCAACCAACAAGACTGAGGAACTGTTTGCGTCAACACAAGAAGTAGGATGTAAGCAACAACAGCATGCTACCAGCGACAACGAACAGCATCATCAAATTAATCACCGAAGCAGCGGCAACAGCAGTGGCAGCGTAAGCCAAATTTCTTCAGTTGGTTTGATGAAAAACACTAACACTGTGTTATCAACGACATTGTCTACAGCTGGTGCACTAAGTAGTGGCAGCAGCGGCGCCGCCAATAACAGTGGTACACCGGCCGTAACATGCAGCGTGGCCACAATGACCACAAATTTCGCCGAATGTAGTCTAAGCAATCACAAGAAACCGCCAGCAGTTGCTGATTTACTCGCCAAAAAGGCGACGCCAAAAGATGCTACTAAGCATAAGAATGCTTCAACATCTACGAATTCAGCTTCCATAGAAAATATTGTCGCAGCACAGACCGTCATACCAATGGTAAATGCTGCTGCTGCTGCTGCGGCGGCGAATAGCAACAGCTCACGATTGAGCTATGCGCAAGTCGCTCAACATCACAAGGAACGCGCCATCGTCGAAGGCGGCAACAACAAAGAGACATCGGTTTCAGGTCAAGCATCACCAGTGGCTGTGCCCAATAAAAACGAATCTTCGGTGGCAACCTTGAGTATAAACAAAATTGAGACTGTGAATAGTAATATCGCTGCGTCTGGACCAGTCAGTACAGCTGGTGTGGTAGCGGTGGCGGCGGCGGCATCTGCGACAGCGACAGCGCTGCCTGCAACAGCGATTGCAGCTGCATCGCAATATGCTGAAAAACAAAGCGATAAGTCGATTAGCGGCTCTCCATCAGCAGCAACCGCATCAGTGCTGATGGATAAGCAATCGCGTGGCATAACGAATGTATTAAGTCAATCGATGTTAAGTGGAGCCACCATAGTTGGCGCTGGTGGAAATGTTGGCGCCAGTAGTGGTGGCGGCAATAATTCCGGTGCTGTGAACGATAGTGGCAGTAATGTAGTTACATTACGCACTGATATTTCCAAAGATAAAGGCAAGTTCAGTATTTAACAAAATTGATAACGAATATCTGCTGGTGAAAATGTGAATGTATATAATATTTATAAATTTGTTACAAGTAATGTAATTATTAATTTGTTTTAATTTCAGATGGTTTTCGTGAAAATCGTCAAAGCACAGGCAGTAACAATAGCGGTAGCAGTGGATTTAGTAGTAGTGGTGCAGTCAGTAACAGTGGTATAACTACAACGGCTGTTACAACGGGTGCACGCAATCGCGGCATCGACGGCAAAGAAAAGAATGTGCGCGAACGACACGATACTGCCGAAAGTAGCAGTAGTGGGCGGAAGTCTGGCCGAAATTAATCGTCAGTTAGGTTGCGATCGAAATAAACGGAGATAGTTTGCTTAGAAACAGCATTTCACACGAAAACATAACACACAGCATAGCTTACACACACACACGATACTCACTTAAAACAAAATATAAGACTACACAAGTAGAACATAAGTAGATGATGCACGCTAAAGGACTTATTGGGAAATTGGAGCAAAAGAAAAGAAGCACATGGTGTGTGTGTGTGTGCGTGTGCTGCAATAACTATGCGCGCAGAAACGAATGGTATAACCAAATCAAGCATTGTGCTGCTCTGCTGCGGTATAAAAGAATTTAAATATAAGAATTAAAAAATTCAAATATATATCCATAAGTGGTGTTGACCAAAAACCAACGAAAAAACCGAACGTAGCATGTGCCAAGCAAGTGCCAGTAGTTTTTGTGTGTGTAGCGAACGTAGCGCTAACCTTTATATATGCACACAAGGCGACGTTCGCCGCCCCAATATGAATTGTGAAAGTTGTCAAAGCTGCTTAATGTTGTTGGATTCCATTTGGTGGGTTTGCTCTCAATTATCGTACTATGACTACTACATCTACCATTAATGCATACTACTACTACTACTACTACTACTACTACGGCTGCTGCTTTAAGTGGATTCACTTGAACACACTGCTATAATAACCACAATGTAATTAAGCGCGTGTGCATAGTTATACATAGTTACAAATAGTTAGTACGGCTATATAGAAATACGAAAATTACGAACGTAAGCTACTTCGAAATACTACAATCCGCAAGATTTACTGCTGCAGCAAATCTACTAATCTACTACATACAGTTAGTTTGTATGATATTTTTTCGCAAAAAAAAAAAAACTGCAATAAGGATACAAAAAACAAATGTTGTAGAACAACAATAAACAGAAATATGGTAAGTGGAACGCATTTATAGAGTATCTAGAGATGTCATATTTTTATTCATGGATATTACTATCTTTTGTAAGGTGACTTACAGTGAAATTTTACGAAAAACATTTTTATCCGTAACCCCCTAAACTACGGATTTGTGAGACATTCTGGTAAATATTATTTTGGTATTATTTGGCACGTTATTTCTCGGGTGTTTCGGTATTTTGTTTGCCGTTTTCCGCAAAAAGAGACAATAAAGAGCCATCTATTGAGGAGTTAGAGGGTAAACATAGCCATTAAATGGCACTTATGAAAGCATGGCTACTGTCCCAATTAAAATATTCAATTATATTTGCTTAGCTGGACTAGAAATTTGGTAGAGGTTAAATATCGCATCTTTCATATTCGATTTCGGCGCATCAGTAAAATGGCTTACCATGGCGATATCGTCAGCAAAGGGCCGAATACCATCCGTCCTAAGCCCCAATAAGTAGGAGTACCAAATTTTGTTGAAATATTTCACTTTTTACTGGAACAATAGTGTGACAACATCAGGGCGCACACCACAAATCGGAAGAGAAGCTCGGCCAAATGCTAACATATTGTGTAAGCGCCAATATATTATAATAATAAACGAAAGGACGAACATAGACATTTCTAAACCGAGTTCTGGTTTCAGTCTGTACATTTTAGTTTGAAGTATGTGTCTATATCGTGTCTCGATTATTTTAGTCTTTTACAAACAACCGTTTAATATACCTTCTGCACAAGTGCACTTGAGGCTAAAAACTAAACTTACTGAACTTACCCTGGTATTACTTAAACTAAAAAAACTTAAAATCAAAAAAAATTAATAACTAAAATTTCGAAATTTTAGACAAGATTAAAAAAAAGGCTAACTTAAGAAGTAACATTAAAAAATCGGAATATCCGAATAAACAAATGAAGGATATCAACCGGATATCCGGTTAACAAAATATAATTTCCGTACGTATATCCGGATATACGCATAGTCCCAGCCCTACTAGTACCAATTTATTTAGTAGAACCAGTTTGCGTACTTGCAGCCTTGCAAACTTGCTAAAATATCTGCTGTAGCTTTCTGAATTATTTAGCTAACGGACTAGCGCATTAAAGAAGAGGACGAAAGTCGAACTACGCTGAGTTAGGCGACTTCTCAAGGTTTGCTTTAAATATTCATTTAAAGCATTAGTTGGTTAGTTCTAGTGCGCCGCAGTTGGCGCCTCAGCAGTCAATCCACGCATGTTTGAAAAATTTAGTTTTACTTCGCATGGATAATGAAGAAAATCCTTATATCATATCCTTGATAAGTCAAACTTTTTTTTTTACCTTTTTATAAACTTTTTCAAGTTGAAAGTTAGATGAAGATTTTGGTTAACCCCTGAAGAAAATCCGATAATCATTTATTTTCACTGAATTGAGTTAGATGTTAACCGCCACTTTCCAGTCATTGTACACTTAAGTGAAGCTTGTACAAATTTACAGCTGAATGTGTATAAAAAAATCTGATGTTAACAAATTCTTTTCTTCCTACTTTCAGCTGTTTTGGTTATAGAAAGACGACCCGTATACAATACGCGGGGAATGTATATATAAAAAGGACCAGTCAGAAATTATTCTTATTACTACTATTGATAAAATATTTATACATACATACATATGTATACATACATAAAAATATATATATATATCACAACCTATCCTTAGTTTTTAAGCAATTGATAAACGAAATGTCAAAATGTTAAAAAGGCAAAACAAAACGTGAGACAAGCACGACGCTTTGCAAAGTGCATAATTGTTGTATATAGAGAAATTAACTTTGTCAATAATAATAATAATAATTATTATTAAAATATTATTGTTCACATACAAATACATATGTATGTACATATGTAGAACATTTATACGTAATGTACATATACATACATATGTACATGTATGTATACATTGTCTACATATTGATCACTAATAATTATAACTAAAGACGTTATTGGATCTACATACATATATAGATATATGAGTGATGCAAACACACAACACACACACACTTCGAGCAACTATGTATGTAGGATTTTATAAAGAGTTATACACATGTGTTACATATTAAATGGGAGCGAGAAAAAAAACCACAAAAACGATATTATATACATACATACTAAAATCGTAGTTAGGCACATTACAGTGAATATTATAATACTACAGGCAGAAACGTTAATAATCACATTGACGTAGATACGTATATTGGAGTGAAAGAGTTGCCCTTTAATTTTGTTTTTTTATATGCGCGTGAGAAGAAAGTGTTAATGTGAATAAAAAACGTACACAAAATAGGGAATAATATCAAAGGCCATAATATACGAAGTCTGTAACGTTTGGAGTAGGAAGAGATATATTATATTATTTTGCCTTCGAACTCATTGCAAATTCGTTGTTCTAGATCAACAATTAATAGAATTAGTTTTAAAACTATTTTGAAAATGGAAAACCAATCTAAACCAAAAAAAATAATTAGGAATAGTAAATGAACTTGAGTTAGGGAAATTGAATTTTTCGCTGTCGTATAATGAAATCGTGATTAAGTTTTATTATTTGCGACACAAAAAACCAACTCTATAGCATCCTGAAAAGGATGAGCAAAAATCAAAATCGAGTTTTTTGTATAAAAGGCTATTTAAAATTTCGTTATTTTTTTTTGTAAGCAACAAACGTCGACGATACTAAAAATTGTCAGCGCTTGTTTTGCACATGCTTCAGGATTTTATATATCAATAAAACATTTCGATGCCTAAGCATTTTTATTAAAGAGAAAAAAAAAACATGGCTGTTAAGGCTTCGTTTTACAGTAGTTATTGAACTGGTTCACAAGGTGATAGGGGGTAGGACTAAATTTAAAAGCGATTTTTTTTTAAGAAATTTATCCTTAACAGCGTTTATTATACTTGTATTTACGTATCATATTGTTATTATATTTTTAGTTTAGCATAACTCGTTTCGCGCCTTCCAAATTCCAAATGTACATATATAACCGAGTTAAAGCGTAAATATGTATATAAATATAATAAGATGTTGTAGTCTTGTAGGTAATTAATTATTAACAAATTATAACATGAATTCATAATAGAACGAAAAACTAACTATGTAAAAAATTAATAATCGAATGTGCCATAACAGAATGTGCGAATGAACGACATAAAAAAAGAATTGAAGCAATTGGCTAAAAAGTAGTGAGAAAATTGTATGACACTTTTTAAGGATGCTATTTGATACTTATTCACTTCCTTTTTGGATGCTTCTGAACACTTCGTTCACTCAACGATGTGGTCAAAGTAAACAACTTTTTTTTTTTTCTTTTTCAAGCTTAAATTTTAAAACTTTATTACTTAAAAAACATATCTAAGTAGCTGTATAAGATCTTTCAAGCTCCATATTACTTGTATATGTTCATACATATATAAAAAATTTATTTCGCAATGTCTCTTGAACAGTGAATTTCATTGACGAAGAAATTCGAATTACTTCAAAAATCTTCAATTGGACACTGAAGATACGCTATCAATTTCAAGCAAAATAAATTTTGTTTTCATGCGATTAAAGGCGCACAAAATTCGCTTAACTTCTAGCGTCGTTTGCATACAAACGCAACCTTAGCTTATTAATTTAATCAAAACAAAAAAAATGTGTTTTCATTTTTCAATTAGATCAAATTTTAAATCTAAGCTGTATTAATATCAAAATCTTGGGTTACTTAATCGGTTCTACAAAAGGGTGCCGCTTTTTTAAACATTTCTTTGTAAATATTTCTCATACAAAACTAGAATCTAAGAAAAAACATTTTTTTTTAAGAAATTTCAATGCTGCGTACTTTTCATTTAATTTATACAGCTAATTGCAGTTAAGTTGTATATTTAAAACAACCTTGTTCTTAAAGTTTAATTTTATTTGAAATCTCATACGAACAGCTCTTGGATTTTTTTCGGCAGCGCGTTGCTGCAGTTGGCATTAAAAAAAATGTTATTTGAGAAGTTACGTACGTAAAATCATATGATTTCGACTTGAAATTCAATTAATTTCCATCGCTATTTAGATTATTTATAAATTTTATTTTTTATTAAATTTCATTATAAAGCTGTTGTCGCAATTAAGTGAGCAAATAAATGCATAAATATATGAATTTCGATTTAGATGTTTAATGGCTAGGTATATTAGTTTTATTAATTAACTCACTTGCTTTTAAAAGAAATTCGAAAATGTTTATTATTTGCGTTTTTTTTAAGTTTGGCTATTTTTGTTTATTATTTCTTTTTTCGAAATTTAATGAAATCATACAATAAACGAATTTCATTTCATGTTTACTCCCTGATTAGTTATTAATGTTAAGATGTTAAAATTTTAGTTTTAGAATACTGAATTTAAATATTTATTATATATCGTTATTAAAAAAAAAAACACAATTTGTTGCAAGTCCGGGTAGATTATATGTAGTTTTTTTTTATTCATCAATTAAAACCAGCTTTTCGCATTAATAACGTCGTTCAACGTATACTTACATACCCAGCAGGCAAAGCTCTACTAGTTGGCTACTAGAAAGCTACTAGGTTTCTTTGCGGCTCAACTACTTCGCAATCATTCTTTTTTTTCATTTCTAGCAACTGGTATTGTAATGTGGCGATGCCCAACCAGTAGATATATACTAGTATCGCCATGCCAGTTGACAAGCCAATTCATCACCAGTTGAGGAAATAAATTTGCAATTATGGTCGTAATGAGCGACCGAGCAAGCGTCGACGCGAACTTCGAGCGATCCGTTTATTTCAAAAGCAGTTTTTCTTTAATCAATAATTTCATTTATTTATTTATTTATTTTTAATTGTTTTCTTGCAAATGTATGTACATCAAAACAAGGAGGAGGTTATCAGTTCGTTGGAATATTTTTGTATGTACTTTAGCGCATAACTTTAGACAACGTGAACCGATTTTGATCGGAGAGGTAGTTTCCTAAAGGTAATTTGCTTTAGATCCGATCATTGGATCATGGCGAAATTAACGGTACTCTTAAATTTGTGTATGGGTTTTTCTATAATGTCGGACGTGACATTCGTACGACTTTAGAATTAAATAAATCATACGAAAACTGAAGTCACTTATAAAAAAAAATTAGTGCGCTTGGAGCACAGGACTATTACAACCATTTCATCCTTATTTAGAAGCAATTCGTTGTGGGTTTAATTTTGGAATTAAACTGGGATAACGGACGTGAAAGATTTTTGCTCCATACAATATTTTTACTAGAAATACATATAAATTAATTTTTTATTTAAGTTTTTCAGTTCGTCACCGTTTCTCGTTTTCATAAGATTTCTTTCGCCATCTGAATACGAAGTTTAAAGTTTTAACTCATTTACTTGCATTTTCGGTTTACATTTTAATGGACATTTCAAGGCAGATGTCGCAAACCGCATAACGGATTTTTTCTTCGAAATTGTTTTTTTTTTTTTAATAGCATACAAATTCCCCAAACAGTTTTTGGGGAATGATGCTGGAGTGACAGCCTTTGGCCAGATATGAATCAGGATCGTTCCGCTTACGTAGACCCGACTGTTGTGGCAACGTGTTGGAAACTGTCGAACAGATAGGCCACCTCATACCAGTTAAATGAACTAGTCGGATTCTGCCAATTGATCTACTAGAAAGTTTACTTACTGTTTCGGCTTTTCGCTGTAGGCTAAATACATGTGAAAGAGAGGATATTTGGGGGTGCAGTGCGTGAAAAATTTTTACTGCCGACTTTGCGCACTTGAACAAATCTATACATACTACATATCGTCACCTGAAATGCAAAAAGACGTTACAAACATCGTCGCTGAAATACAAAAAGTCGTAACTAGTAAAAAATTCAAAATTCAGTTTTTTATTTAGATATGATGGATTTCATCGAAATAAAACTCCCACATCATTTTATGAAAAAAAAATAAAAAATATTAGTCACGACTTTTTCCATTTCAGTTACGATGTTGTTACGTCGTTTTGCATTTCAGGTGACGATCGTTGTATATTCATGCGAGGTAGTAATTGTTGTTGTTGTTGTTTTTTTAAAGAGGTTGGGAAGGTTGAAAAATATACCTTAATTAGTTTTTAACACCGTACAAGGCATGCATAGTCATATCAATTATATTTTATTTTCTCACACAATTGTATGTACATACGCCTATGTGTGTATGTATGTGCCATTTTAGAAGTAACGAAAGGATAAACTATTCATGTATGTATATCATAGATTAATAAAACCCCGAAGTGTATGTGTATACAAAAATATGTACATACATACATCTATATAGTTTATGCAAGTTTGATTTTATGCATCGAAATTGAAATGACAATTAACCATGAAATTTTTGTTATAAACTAAAGAAATACAAAAATCAGAATTAGGAATTGTAAATAGGTAGGTAGTTGTTAGTTGGTAGGTATTGACGAACTGCATACTTACATACATACATACATAGTATATGCACATACATAAATTCATCTCTGTGGTGTGTGTGTGTGTGTGTGTGTTTTGTGCTAGATCACAAATGAGGTTTTGCTGATGATAATGATGACGATGTTTTCCCAGCCTAAGCTAAATCCATACATACATGCATGCATACATATATGTATACATGTATGTGTGTAGTAATTAATTTACAACTGTAAACTGAAATTAAATTTGTATTAAATATAAATATGTATACATAAACTATTTTCTAGTTGCATAAGTTAAATTGTATTTGTGGTACTATACGATAAGTTGACTAATTTGCCTAAGCATAGTATATACACAAAAACTTATACAACAAACATGCATACATACATATACATATATCTATACTTATAAAATATAACTATGTGTATGCATAAGAACTTGATATATATATATATATATGTGTATCTTATGTATAATACATACTACATACATAGATTATAAAAATCTACAGAACTAAAAATCAAATTTAATACATACATATGTATGTACGAAAATTATGTGCTTGCATACATAATAAAACATACACGCATATTCGCATAGTACATAAAAAGGCAACAAACAAAAATAGTAATGTTTGTCTATTTGAATTACTAGCGCTAAACACCGACAAAAATTGCACACTCACACATACACAGACATCCTTAGGACCGTTTTCATAGTGACGAGTTCCAGCTCCTTTGCCAGTTTACATTAGATTTTTGTACTGAAACGAAAGTTAATTCGCCAATGTGAATGCGACCCTTCGCCCATACATATATTTACACAAAAAACACATCCTCAATGCATTGTTGTTTGTATGAAAATGTTAATTTAGCACAGCTACAGGGTACAACGAATTTAAGTGCTACCTAATAAAAATGTCATATTTTCTTTATTTATAAATGAATTTGGTTGAGTTAAGCGAAAAGCTTTGTCAAATTAATTATCTTAACTGGCACACCACAATGGTGAGGCTGTGGTATGTAGCCAGAGCTGTCAAAAGTTAAACTAATCTAAATGCTCTAAACTGCCCACAATATGTAGCTGTGGTTGTGGTGTATTATTACTGATGTAGCTATCGAAATAGCTTGTCGCTGTGGTACTACATTCTGATTAGTCAGTAAAAACTGATTGATATTCTCAAATAATATAGATCTGCGCTGATCGTTTAAGAGCGTTGAACAGACGGAAAACGACCTTTCCATATTCATTTATGTGCCTGGACAGAATTTAAAATTAGATATTTCCAGTAATGATAGTGTATCGATGTAGTTGCCACTTAAAAATATGAAACCTTAATTTCTTTTCAAAACTGAATTTAATTTTTTTAAATATTCCCTATTCTCCATTTGAGATGTAGTAGTAGTAGTAGTTGTAACAGCATACAGATCCCCCAGAGTTTTTGGGGAGTGTTGCTGGAGTGACAGTCCTTGGCCAGATATAAATCTGGGTCGTTCCGGTTACGTAGACCCGACTGTCGTGGGAACGCCTCCATTTGAGATAAATTATTTTGATTATCTGCAATTTCTGTATCTCAGCCGAAATGCAATTGTTTTTATGTTATTGTCTGTAAACATTCGTCTAGTTCGACAAATAACATCGGAATCTTCATCGCTGGAAATTGGGGAAATACTCGAGAGTCCAATTATAATCGTTAACAGCTGCAATTCTTTTTGAGTTTGAAGCGTGGTGTGCAGATCTCAAGAACTTTCAAAACTCCATATAAAAAAAAAAAGCTCAAGAAAAATTATTAAAATTCTCGGCCCTAATGATGAAAATTTATTTGTCAACCCTTTGTGTTTAATTCAACAAAGTTCGTTTATAAATAGCGAAAATTTGGCATTTTTATTTCGTATCACTTAAATTGCCGTACCCTGTACTTTTTTTGGTTTATTTTCTTTTTTAAACGTACCTTCACGCAAAGTCTACAATTAATTAAGTACATAAGTCAAATACACAGTATACAGCAAATAATAATGAACAAATTTAGTCGATATACAAACGAATTGAAAAGGAATATAGTGAGTAGTGTGCTGCTAAGCAGCTGAAATGTAATGAAATAGGCGCTGAATCGGGCTGTACGTATGAGTGAGTGTGCTGCTGGAGAGGGAGAGTAAATGAGACGACCGACCCGTAGAGGCAAATTTAAATTAATAGTTTTTATGTGGTTGGAGATGTGTGGTTAATTTGTCTGGTTGATGCGCTTATTTTACAAATACATATAGTATGTATAAAGAAATGAATACCCTAAATACACTTTTCTAAATCGTATTTGTATTGTATTTACCTTAAATATGACGGATGTATTTTTTTAATTTAAATTCATTTGTTTTTGTTTTTTTTTTGTTTTTTCAACCTCAATGTACCTACATATGTACATATGTGCATATGTATGTTTGTTATTTTTATTTGATTATTTCTTTGATTTGCGGGATCAATTAAAATTACACGCACACATACACTCACGTTAAAAAAAGGAATTACGAAAAATTTGCTTTTAAATATAGAAGAGAAAAATGCTTATAATAATTTTTAACACTATTGCAGTTGTTATTTAAGTTAATAAAGCGTTTGCATAAGTTGATTGCCAACTCAACTATATATTTTAGTTTGCAATTATTTATTATCGTTGGGTGGATTGTTGGTTGCTGCTGTGCGAGGAAAAGCGACAA